ATTGTACATCAAGTAGTGAAAAGATCACTGAATGATTCTGATATGAAATCAAATCATATTGCTGTTGGGACAAATATTAAAGGATCAGCCCCGAATCAGTTCAATAGTCCTCGTGGAATTTTTGTCGATGTGAACTTCGATTTATATGTGGCAGATTGTTTCAATGATCGAGTTCAGTTGTTCCAGTCAGGAGAATCAAATGGCATTACAGTAGCTGGATATACATCACTAACTCCAACAATTACACTTCTTTGGCCAACTGGAATTATATTAGATGCTGAGAAATACTTATTCATCGTGGATCAGAAGAATGATCGCATTGTTGGTTCAGGCTTGAATGGTTTTCGATGTTTAGTTGGATGTTATGGAAAGGGTTCACAATCCAATCAATTGGAGTATCCATGCAGTTTGAGTTTTGATCGCTCTGGAAACTTATTTGTCGCCGATCAATACAATCATCGAATTCAAAAATTTTTATTGATGAAAGATTCTTTTGGTAAGTCGAAGAAAATTTGCATGAAACGAAGAGATGTGAATAGATAAGTAACAGAAGTAAATAAAAACATTCCAAGAGAGTTGGAACTGATCCGGCTCCGGTCCGGTCGATGCGGCAAGACCAGACGGAAAATCCAACCAGCCCGGACAAAACCGGATTTGCACCAGTTCATAATACTTTAAAATTATACTTGTATTTCGAAGTTTTTTCTTACAAAAGTAACCTTTACATGTTTTTTTATTTTAAATATCATGCCAGAAATCATTATGCGTATAAGAGTAGAAACCGGTTCGGCCGGACCGTATCGAATAGAAAAAATCCGTCTGGTTTCAGCTCTGCCTTAACCAGCATGCTATAGTATAAATTTATAATTTTGTTGGATTTTAGCAAATTTGACGTCAAAAGTAGTCCAGCCGGATTCCAGCTGGACCGAATCCAGGCTTACCAAATCCAAATTTGAGAAATCAGGGGTTTCGAAGAAAAAACAGGAGCTTGTCAGGAGAAATTTACTACCAAATCAGGATAATAATGAGGAGTTTTTTCAGATATAGTGGGTGAGGCAAAATTTTTGAAACATTTTTTGTTTTGCATATATTTAGACTTGCAAAAATGAGAAAATCTTAGTTTTTATTTTAAAACATGCACCATAAAAAGCTGTACAAAAACTTCCATATTACGAAACAAAAAGTTTTTCAAGCATCTTTTTGATAGCGAGAAGTAGCACTAACATAGGCCTTTCTCATTTTCAGTATGGGAAGAACCATTAAAACAAGTCAATAAGAATTTGATTATACAACTTTTGTAGAACTTTTCTCAGCGTATCTTTCATAAGAAAAATCAACATTTCGTCATTCGGGAAAGTCGATATGTAAGCAAGACAACAAAATTTTCCAAACACTTTAATTACCATGGGACATAGCGTCATCATAGAGCTCTTTCATTTTGAGTATGAAGGAACCAACAAAACAAGGCACTAGGGATTTCTTTATGCAGTTTTTGTAGAGGTTTTCACAGTGCATCTTTGGAAAGAAAAATTAAGATTTTCTCATTTTTGCAAGCCTACATATATGCAAAACAAAATTGTTGTAAAACTTTTGTCTCACCTGGCGTCGAAACACAAAAATCAGGAGAAAATGATAAAAATCAGAAGAAAATGACAAAAATCAGCTCCTGAAATCAAAAGATGTTCAATCACGAAAAATTAAAAAAAACCAGGAGACTCCTGACCAAATCAGGAGCTTTGGTAGCCCTGATCGAATCGGACTGGATAGAAAAAGTCTGTCCGGTTCCAATTCTGCATTTCAATATAAAAAACGAAAAAAAATAAAAATAGTTGAGAAAGATTAATCAAATCAGGTTGTAAAAGAATGTGTCTAAGGAAATGAAATATTCAGATTAGACAGAGCCATATGTTACTCGTCTAAGACAAATAATCTCTGCCTTTTTATTGAAATTAAAGAATACACAAATAAAAAGTTCTGTCCTTGATTAAATGTTATGAAAACCTTTGATATTTAATTCCATGTCTCAAAGAATATTTCATCAATGAAACAGTTTTTATCGTAATATAATCTCCTCATATCTTTACCGATATAGTTTTAATATAAATTATTCTATGATTTCACTTCATATTTCATGTTGTGATTTGTTTGATTCAAGAAAAATGGAACAAATAAAGTATCACAATTCCAACAGCTAGGTTTTCTTCTTTTTTTATACAAAGTGAATTTAGTCATCGTTTCTCTTTGCGAGAGATCAATTTCAATATCAAATATTATAAAATGAATTCTCTCATTAAAAAATTTTGATTGATGATTTGTTATTTTGATAGTTATCATAATATTTAATTTCAGAGTAATATTAAATAATTGAAGGAAATCTATGATGTGACATACGTAATTATTAATGATGTATATATGTTATTACTTCTATAATTATAAACAAAAAATATTTCCTGAGGAAGACAAGAGTTATTTATTTCTTGAAATAAATAAAATATAATGATTTGCTTTTGAATAAAAATTTCAGGCAAGTTAATTAACAAAGTTTTGTTTACATTTCTGAACTTCAATGAGAAAAAGGTTTCCAGATTAATAAGAAACTTTTTAGTTGTATAAATATTTACTTTGCTTTTCTTGATGATGTGTAATTAATGATTGTCTTCTTTTAAGACAACTATTTATTCTTTTCAATTTAAGATAAAGCGTTTCTGGTTTCATTCTTTATTTCATAGTGAAAATATTGAAATCTGTAAAATACTATTAAGACCACAAAGAAAGATCTGTTTTATTTAGATTGAATAAAGACGAGATTATGTGTGATCTATGATGAATCTTTGAAATTTTTTGCGATAAAAAATCTTCATGTAACAATTTGTGCAAAGAGCGTTTGCAGATAGACAGAAAGACTTCTTGCGGATCATAAAAAATCGTATTTTTTCTCTCATCTTGCTTTTTTTTCATTCAGTACCGATGTGATACGTAGTGGCATTATTTTTCATTTTTTAATGAAATTAATTAAAATAAATCCAATTATGTTTTCAAATAGTATAGACAACTGAGATAACATAGGGACATTTACCGTTTTTATTTCATTTCTTTCCTAAATTAACTTTCAATGTTTATCAGAAAAAAGTTTGAGAAAGGTTGAATAAATATTTGAAAACTGAACTTTGTGTCTGAACACATTTTTCAAAAAAAAGATCTGCAATGACATATCTGCAGAATTATTTAAAAAAACCAGCTTGATAATTAAAAAATTCACTTGACAAAGGCGAATGAAACTTTCAAAATTGTAAAGAAATCTAATTGATAAAAATTTCTTCTTTTCTGTTGATTGTTTTTCCTTAAATAAATAATTTCTTTTATTCAACTATTTCCTTTGATATAATTTATCCAGACCTTTCAGAGAATTTTTCAACAAAAGTTAAACAAATATAATTTAACAATATCACAATTTATATTTCATGTCAAAATTAATAAAAATCACCCTGAAGTCAATGTTAATGAACATTTCTAAATGTCTTTTTCATCAAAAATTTCTTTGAAGAAACTTTGTTTTTCTTTTACGAATATATAAATTAACAATTTCGTTTCGTTTACAATTCTCGTCTAATTTTCTTTCTATCTTTCTTATTTTTAGCTCTTCCATACAATCAGCCAAAGTTTTGTCCAACAGCCACTTGGAATTCAAAAGGAATTACCTTTACTAATCAATCGAGTGACGACTTCAATCCTATCGCCATTTTTGTGAGCACAAACAACACAATCTATGTCGTTAATCGACAAAATAAAGCAATTATAATGTGGGATGAAGAGAGTGTTAATCCAACAAAGATTATACCCGGCAACTTTACAGGAATCGCTTCTCTCTTCGTGGCATTGAATGGTGATATTTATATTGATGAGACTATTAAGAGTCATCGAGTACAGAAATGGATCGCAGAGACAAATACGTTTATCACGGTGATGAATGTTAGGCAAGCATGTTCTGGTTTGTTTGTCGATATCAATGATACTCTTTACTGTTCAATTCATATTGTACATCAAGTAGTGAAAAGATCACTGAATGATTCTGATATGAA